TGAGAGTTTGGACCCGCACGAGAGAAGGGAGTACATGGAATATTGAAAATCGATTAGATTCTGTTGTAATATTAAAGTTGTTGTTTAAATTAAATCCAGCCATGACGTCTCAATAATGTTTGTTGTATTTACTCCATTCTCTCCTCCCCCCTGGAATTGTTTTGGAAGGTAAAGCTTCTTGGAATTGACAAAACCAGTCCGAGAGAGGTTCTACATGGAATTTGACAAAAACATTCCGAGAGAGGTTCTACATGGAAATTTCCAGGTAGGTTGACAAAACATTCCGTGGAGGCTTCTACATGGACTTTTGAAACATTCCGTGGAGGCTTCTACATAGAATCTGGCAAAATTCCATGCACTATAGAACCTGGAATAGCTCAGAGCCTGAGCGTGCTGATAAAAAATGTTTTGATCGCACAGCTGTTTCGATGATACGCTGGACATTGACTTCATTCCCAGGGAAGTCCACGTAAGGGTTGCAACCAGCCATGGCTTCTAGGCGGCTTTGCAAGTAGCCCAATTTGCAAGTAGCTATTCACACAAATGGAGCATTTATTTATACATGTGCATGTATACATTTATACATGTAAATATATATACTAGGTTCACAATTCGTACATTTTTTATTTATTTTTGTTTTGCCTGTTCATTGCCCGGCCTCCGCCCAGCCGTAGAGGTTCAAGGTCCAAGGTCCACCGTTCAACCCAACATCATCCTATAAGTGTAGACCTCAGTCAGCTTGTTGTATGTTTTGGCAATGCTTATCCCTTTTCTTCCCCATCATGTTGAATGTCCCATTTCCCAGGTTTGAAGCTGCTGCCGTGCCTTTGCAGCTCCTCCTCCTTGACCAGGTGCTATCCCATTGTTTTTCTTGATTCAAGTGCTTTCTAGGGTTTGCTTTTCAGCGACTCCTGTGCCTCCAATTTTTGAATCCTTGCTGTATAGCCCTGCTGCAGGTGCTGGGCTGCTGCCAGTGGGGAGGTGCAACTTTGTGGTACGTCGGCGCCTCAATGTTGGAATCGTTCTTTATTTCCAGCCAACTTTTGATCATTGAATTGTTGTTGCCGACATGTCAAGCTGTGCAACTTCTTGCAGCATGTTGGATCCTGAAGTTTGCCGAATTTGGCTCACATCCAGTCCAAGGTCCACGGTCCACCGTCCACAGTCCGCTGTCCGGTCCAGGGTCCGTTGTCCAGGGTCCGCTATCCAGATGGCAGCAGAACTCCCGGAAGCAGTTGTTCAAGATGTCCAGGAGTTTGTGGAGGAACCCCTAGCTCCTGCTCCTGGGGCTGGTGGTGGCGGTGAAGCTGAACCTGCTGAAGCTGGACCTGCTGGCCAAGCTGGCGGCGCTGCTCACCCTGGCCTTCTTCGTCCAGTTGATCCTGCCAATGCTGAGTATGCCAACAGCGTCTTGCGGTGCGGGATCCGAATCTCCCCAGGTGTGATCGGACTGACATCTGAAACGATTGTGGAACACTATGGGTGCTTGGGACCAAATTATCAGCCTTTAAAGTTTGTTTTTCTTCAGTGAATTTGCTGTTATTGTTTCCTTTTGCGACGCATGCATCTCAGGCACATTGAGACAGCCCCCACGTTCATGAGGCAGGAGTATGACACTGCACAGGAGTGGTCATGGGCCTTTGGCGGATTCAACTTTCCACGGGCATCTTTCTATCCGGAGGGGCGGCGAACTGGTGAAGCAGTAGGCCAATTTTGTGGTAGTTCCCTGGCCTGCTTAAGTTCCAAAGGCAGCTTTTGGCAAATGATATTAGAAAGGGTGCCCGCTTTGATTTTTTTTAGAGCTTGTGCTCACGCTTTCGCAGGCTTCCCCCGTGTTGATGACGATGTGGTGATTGATGCGCTCGCTGTGATTGAGAAGTTGCCTGACCGTCATCGGGTCCAGCAAGTCATGCACGGCGTTCCTTGGCAGCATGAAATTTGGCAATGTTGTTAGTTTTACGCACAGCATGCTGTTGCTTGTTTTTATTTGCATGGCCTGCTCCTCATTGCTTTTGTATCTGTTGCCAGTACTCTTTTGCTGAAGCCAGCAGCTAAGTTGCTATGCCACAGCCGTGAGCTTCTGGAGCAGTTCATTGCAGATGAGTCCAGTGGCAAGAAAGTTTTCCATATTCTCATGCATCCATACACCCTGCACAGCTTGGCACGTGGCCACATGCTGAGGTACTTTGCAACTTGGCAATTGGTTCATACAGCATTTTTTCTAAAATAGTTACTTTTATTTCATCGGGCTACGTTTTCCTACGGTTTCATTGTTTCTGGCCGATTTGAGGACTCCACCGACTGGAAAGGGTGGCCGATCCCATGGTGCCGGGAGAACGACAACATGCCAGATGTCAGCGCCTACGGTCGAGACTGCATCAAGTATGTGAAGCTCTTCATGAAGTTGGCTGGTTTTACGAGGGCAGAACCAAGGACCCTTCCTGGCCAAGCGCAGGCTTCCCAACTGCGATCTACAGAAGACAGGACACGGAGACAGGCCAAAATAATAGTTGAGCTATAATTAATAAGTTGGTTTACACAACAACATTTCCAGATTTTGCATTGGGAAAACGTTGGTTGACTCTGGCAGGAACGCGTCCTTGCTCGAGAAGTGCTTCTTCACAGAGCGCTTTACCCCTGAGCTGGTCAATTTGCTGAACGACTGCGGTATCAAGCTGGGCATAAATCACGCCACGCTGAAGCTCTTTGGCAGAATTTCTTCATTTATAGGCTTCAGGGCTACATTTCCACCCTTGAATGCTCAAAAACCTAACTTTGAAGCTTGGAAGGGTATTTTGGTTTACTTTAAGGGTATTGTTTGTTTCCAATCCTAGGCGCACAGAGCAGTTTTACATCACCCGAACTCTTCCGCCCGGGATCCGTCAATTTACCAATGCGCTGCCTGGCGAACAACCTCCATGGACACGCAGTCTCTGGGCAACCAGCGACGGATACTTCTACGTCCTGAGATTGCAGCAAGCTGACGTGAGCCATCGTGCGTTTGTGACACCGACTCTGCTCGCAAAAGCTCCTTGGTACTCCTTGATGTGTTTGATTGTGTTTGGCTTTTGGGTGGAATTCAAACAGTTTTTCATTTTTGAATGTTGCACAAAATCAGGCTGACGTGGTGAAAGGGGACTTCAACGAGGCGATGTCGGATTGGTTCATGTCCAACAAGCGGGAGGTTCCTTTCACATGGACTGGCGAAACAGAGGACGATTTCGGCCTGTTCTTGAATGGGTTCAAGTTCGTGCCTTGATAACATTTATACCATTAATTTGAGTTCTTGGTTCCTTTTCGTTTGGGCTTGGCATTTTTCATCATCAATGCTTTCCCATTTTCTTGCCCTTGCAGCAGTCAGGTCCAAGCTCTGTGCTTCAAAAAGGTGCCGCTGCTGATGGCATTCGAGAGGATCCAGGACTCGCAGTGGAAGCCATTTGAGTTGCATCTGGCACGGTGCTGCAAATGGGGGCCTGGAGTTAACATGGCGCTGCACACTGGCCGTGGGCAGTTTCCTGAAGAAGAAGACCGCCCTCGCCGCGACCGGCCCCGAACATATGCAGGCACAGGTGGTTGGGGAGGCTACTACGGTGGCGGGGGAGGCGGTCCTGCGCAGGCTGCTGGCAATGGTGGCGGCTTCCAAGCTGGCCCTGGTTCTGCTCAAGATTTTGCTCCTGGCGCGCAGCCTGCTCCCGACGCGCAGCCTGCTCCCGGTGCACAGCCTGCTCCCGGTGCACAGCCTGCTCCTGGCCCACAACCTGCTCCAGGCCCACAACCTGCTCCAGATCAAGGTGCACAGCCGCAGCCGCAGCCGCAGCCTGCTGCCCAGCCTGACCCCTGGCAGTGGAACTGAGTGCTGCCACTAGCATGCTCAGGCTCAAGGTCCATGGTCCATAGTCCATAGTCCACAGTCCACTGTCATTTGAAAACAGTTTTGGAAGAGAATGCCAGAGAGCCTGACCTGCAGTAGATTTCAAGCACCTTGTGGTGCACAGCATCCGAAATCAGCGATGCCTCTTCCACCGCCGGCACACATTTTGCGATGGATGAAATAGTTGTCCGCCGTTGTCCGCCGTGATCCTGATTCTATAGTTTGAATTTAGCTGGTCTCCAAGCTTTACGTAGATTGAATCACCATGGCAGCTTTTGCACGCTCAGGCTGGGCAGTGCGTTCTCCTGCTTCGACGAGGTGCAAAGCACAGCATGCCAATATGCATTCCCAGCCACTGATCAATGATTAACGCATGCTTTTCCAAATTTGCTTTATTGTGCAGCCTGATTGAGAAGTGCTGGCCAGCGTTGTTGCATGTGGAGGTCCCAGTCCCAAGCGATCTTCAAGTTCAGAGCTTCGGTGGCTGCAGGCAAGGGAGCTGTAGAATAGGGTTTTTTGAATCATATGTGTCCCAATTATTTTGGTTGCCTTTTTTGGTTGCAGTAAAGTATGTTCTTTAAAGCTGATCCGCATTCCTGCCAGGCAGTTGCTGGCAAGGGGGCACTTTACCCCTGCTCCAGGCACACAGCGTTGCCATGTCACCAATCAATGGCAAGTGACTCTGTGCGCTTGTTTTGTTTCAAGTGCTTGTCTTTGCAGCTGAGCTATTGGTGTTGCATGGGCAGGTGCAGAAAGGCAGTGCTTCAAGCAATCAGAGGCCACTCATCCGTCATCAAGTGTTCTTTTCGAAGCTCTTTGGCAGAATTTCTTGGCGTATAGGCTTGTGGGCTACATTTCCACCCTTGAATTCTCAAAAACATCACTTTGAAGCTTCGAAGGGTATTTTGGTTGACTTTTAGGGTTTTTGTTTGATTGCAATCCTAGGCGCGCAGAGCAGTTTTACATCACCTGGACTCTTCAGTTTTACAACAGCCATGGAGAATGATACCTTCAGCGCCTGTACATTCAACAGTCCATCTGTCAGTGTTTTTGTACTGATGTAGTTTTTTGGCACAAGCCACGGTCCACGGTCCACGGTCCAGGGTCCACTGTTCAGGAAACCACTGCCATGGATTTTGATACTTTGCCTGGAGGTTTGCTGGAATGGCTAGATGATTGGGGCCCACGCATGAAGCAGAAGGTCACTGCAGCACTTGGGCAATATGGCCCTGCCACTGCCTTTCCTTCAACTTTGCTTGTGGGCACCGATTGCAGTGGGATTGAGGCTCCAATTCATGCACTACATGGGTTGGGCATTTCCCATGAGCACTGCTGGTCTTCTGAGGTAGCCAAAGGACCACGGGAAGTCCTTCTGGCAAACACCCCTCCAACAGGCCACGTTTTTGAGGACGTCTTGGATGCCAAAGTGCAGATGCCTGGGTATGTCCATTTGTACGTCAGTGGATTCAGCTGCAAACCATTTAGCACCTTGCATAATGGAAGCAAATTGTTGGGGGAGCCTCAGGCGAAGATTTTCTGGGCTGTGGTGAGCCGCATCATGGCAGTGAGACCAGCATGCTTTGTCCTTGAGAATGTCCAGGGCATCCGACGTGTGCAGGCACAGGTGGTCAAGGCATTGCAAGGCAAAGGGCTTTACCATGTAGCCACCTTGAAGATGGATCCTGGTGACTTGGGAGAGCCTCTTCAAAGGCCAAGAGTCTACTTCTTTGGAGTGAGGGCTGATGTTGCAACTGTCAGCCCGACGCAATTGCAGGAGATTTTGGCAAGTTCTTGGAGCTCTGTAAGGTCCAGCTGCATGGTCCAAGGTCCACGGTCCACTGGTCCACGGTCCACTGTGCCACTGCAGAGCAGAATGCTTCCAGACAGCCACTCTGCTGTTGTTCAATTCCAGTTGGCTCGCAGGGAGAGGTGGCTGAAGGCTTGGCTTTGGGAAGTCCAATATAACTTAGATTTGTCGAGTCGAGTTGCAGTTTGGTTGGAGGGAGCACTATGTTCACAGTTGGTAGCAACGTTCAATAAAATATAACCGGCTTATTGCATTTCTAGGACAAGCTTGCAAGGCTTTGCATTTGCACACCAAACTTCCTGACTCGCAGGCAAAGGCAGATGGGTTCCCAGACAAGAAGACCAATCCCAAGTGGCGCGCTTTGCATGCTTCGCTGCAGCCTGTGGATGCCAACAAGTCTTGCTGGAAAAGCGCATGCTCTCCTGATGACCTCTTTCTACACCTTCCAAGGGAGCGAGATGCTTGGACCTTTCTTGCTTCATTGCATCCACAGCCAGACCTGGTAGCAGATTTGTCACAGACAGTGACCAGAGCAGGGGTTCGCAAAGACGGGAAGTTGCCAACCATTACGCCTGGCAGTGTTTTGGCAGTTCGGAAGGCTGGCAGACTTGTGAGCCCGATAGAAAAGATCATGCTGCATGGATTTCCTGTACACCGCATGACCATCCCCCCTGGGATTTCAGATCGCGATTTGGAGTCGATGGGAGGAAACACCATGCATGTGCATGTTGTTGGAGCAGCAATGCTTATGGTTTTGGCCATGGTGGATTGGAGCTTGGCTGCGGCATCAGGGCCCTGTCATGGACTGCCTGTGAAGGGCAAGAACACAGGCACAAGCATTTACCAATCGAAAGTGCGCAGAGGTCCAAGGTCCAAGGTCCAGCGTCCAAGGTCCAGCAAATCGCAAGTCTCCAAGGTGCTTGCAAATTTAGCTGCCCGTTGGCAATTGCCAAAGGGCAAGCCAGTAATTAAGAAGTCAAAAGCTGTGGCTCCTATTCAGCGGCCCACTGTTATTTCTGCCTTGCATGGCACCCGGTGGGGTTAGATGTTAATACTGTAATTCAAATTGGCTTTGTTTATTTGTCGGCAATGTGTGTAACACACACAGCCAATCAAATACAGCCATTCAGATGCGCGCTTGCCTGAGCGAAAAAAAAGCAGAACAGCAAACTACGCTTGCAACTTTTTTGTGCCAGACAGGCTAGACAGGGTACGCACATGCCAGTATCAGCTTGCATCTTAACCATATCTGTATTTTGTGAACCCGAAAATTTGCAGGCCAACGGCCAAAGGGACCATGTCGTGCCCCCAGTGCTTGTAGAAAGCTGCTTCAATTAGTGTTTCAGACTTGCGTTGGGTCAGTGTGCATTCTTTGTAGATTCTACCTTGGATAGTTGAGTTCAGTGGCTTGAGTGCTGATCTCTGCATTATGGCTCAAGGTCCAAGGTCCAAGGTCCAAGCAGCACAATGCCTCAGATTGGGAAGAGAAAGGCAACAAATTCAATTGCTGAGGGCCTTGCCAAACGGTTTTGCCTTGCAGCGAAGGCGAAGCCTAAGAGGAAACTCAGCGGGCTGCGTGCGCCAGCGTCGGCTTCTGGACCTAGCAAGCAACGCAAAACAACACATTCTGGCAATGGCAAGGCTGAAGGTGGACAGGGATTGCCTGAGTGTGCAGTTGGCTATGCTGATGAGACTGCTGAGAATCATTTTGCCAGTCATGGTTGCAAAGCGATGCCAGCAAAGTGTGCTCGATGCAGGTTGCCTTGCGCATTTCAAGATATTTTTTCATTGGCAAGGCGTATTTTGGGTTAAGTTTGATAAAAAATAGATGTTGCTACCATGCTTGACAAGGTATTTGCGTTTTGCGCAGAAGTGGTCTCAGCGAACTGCAGTCTCGCACACTTCCTGGGGAAAGCGGGCTGTGACTCCATGGCTTGGCGAAAAGCCGGCACGAAGAGCAGGGCAATGGGGGGTTGGGTGCCATTTTTGTGCCCACCTCATGCACAAGCTGGCTGCTGACCCTGAGCAGCGCAAGCAGCTGTTCCATCCTGAGTTGCTTCCATGGCAGCTTCTGGCTTTAAGGTTCCAGGTCCAAGTTTCACTTGCACAAGTTAAGCACTTTTAAAGTATCCTTGCGGAGTCTTCCCAGGTTGGGCAGCAGATTCTCCACAAAATGGGGCAGCTATTCTGTTCGCTCTTTGTACTTCGACCATGCAAAAGAACAAGTTTCAAATTTCTTTGTTCTTGCCCCCAATCGATATGAACTGGCCATCGCTGTCATTCATGATCGTCGGGCAAGATTTGTTTGCCCACAGGAAAGCTATGCAATACAGCTGCTTGCAGCAGCATGTTGCAAGTACAGTTCACCGAACTGCTGTCCAATCCTACCTAGCACCAGATAAGCCGGTGTCTGAGTGTTTGCCGTACAACTTGGAGGAACAAGCTTTGTGGAAGGGCAACGTACCTCAACCTGATGATTGGCTCCGTGCCTGGAGAGCATGTAGGACCCCAGCGTCTTTTCTGGCCGCATTGGCATTTTTCCAAACTGAGGATTATGCTGCAGGTAGACAGACCAAGGTAAAGTGGCATGGCTTCTTGCACATTGCATAGCAAGCATGTTTGAAGTTTTGTTACAAGTTGCTCTTATTTCAGGCATTAGCTGCCATTAGCCTGATTCCTGTGCGCGGTTGGTGTTTCAGGCTTGAAGAACATGATCTCGGTGATGCATTGGGCGGTAAAGCAGAAGCGATTGGACAGGTTGCTTCACTCCAGCAGCATCAGTATATCCATTGACGACCGGAAAGATTACAGGATTGTCCGCTACCGCTGCAACCTGGCATGTCCTGAGTCCAAGGTCCAGGGTCCAGGGTCCGATGCCCAATCTGCAAAGGCTAACAGTCAAACTCTTGTTGCGTTGCCATCATTGGAGGATTGGTCTGCAACGCCTACTCTTGCAGCATCTGGCATTTTGGGCGTGTACAGGGTTGGCGCAGATGTTCCAGAAAACACGCTGGAGTCTCATGATATGGATAAAAGTGAGGCCATGGCCAAGACTGTGCTGGAGATTCTGAAGCGGGCTTGCCAGAACCCGGACGGTGATTGTGATTCAACTGCAATGGATAAAATATCCAGCAGCATACGGCACTTTGCATCGGACCAGGGACCAAACGTTGCCAAAGTTGGAAAGTTGCTGGCATCTGGCAACAAGCTGAGGAACCTGGTTTATCTGAGCTTCGATGCTGCTCACCAGATTCGGATCGCATCAAAGGACCCGCTACAAGCTTTGCCAGAGTTTGAGAAGCAGTGGAGCCGGCTTTTCAGTGGCAGGAATGCGTTGCTGCCAGCCATACACCACAGCAAAGTGTGGCAAACAAAGTTGCTAGCATGTGAGAGAGAGATTCTCAAAGCCCATGGGTCGCAAGGTGGCTTGGACCGAGCAGTGCAGTCCCTCAGCTTTGCTGCTCACCGATTCGACTCAGCAGCAACTCCATTGTTCAAATTCTGCAGCCTCATTCGGGCCATAGCTTTGCTGTGCGGCATGCAAGCTACTGACGTGGCTGGGTTTGCTGATCCTATTTTTTTTTGAAAATCTCTTTAAGTGTTGGCATCGGTTTAAGTCTTCTTTTATCCTGTCTTAGAGTCCAATCGTCCTTGTAAAGGCTCGGAACAGCCGCGACGTTCGTCAGCTGGCAGAAGAAGCTCTCCAACACATGGTGGCGCCTGAGCTGATGCGGGCAGCAGTGACAGCTGACTACACCAGTGAATGTTTGCAGTTTCTTCGGTCCGGCTTCGACATTGAAGACCCTGACCCTGCTACTGTCTTTCATTGCGTGGAGAAGTTCGACGCCCACATGAAAGCCCTCTTTGTGGAAGGGTACATTCTGTCCAAGCCAGCGTCTGGTGGGCATGATCCAGCTGAGAAAACCGCTTGCCAGATGGTATTCGAAGAAGTCGAGTTCCCAGAGCCGAAGCTTGCTGCTCTGTTTTATTCATTCTTGGCCCAAAAAACTGAGAATTCTTTCTTCGCCTCAAGAAAAAGCATTCATTCAAGTCACTTGCTTGCTGCCCCTGCCCAAGGATCTACTACGGTGATCGCGTCCATTACTTAGCCACCCAAGCCAGCGCTGAGGACATCCGCCAAATCATGGCTTCAATGTCGCTAGTGGTGCAAGCCATGTTGAAAAGGGTTGAGATCGATCTTGCTGAAGATGAAATTGGGTTGGCCCTGCAAGGTTTCCATTTGGAGTGCTGGCAAGCAACAAACAATCATGCTGCTTTGAAAGCGCATTTGAAGCGACTTTGTGCCATCCTTGGTCTTCCAAACGCTGGGTCACTGCTTGCTGCAGCTGCCAAGAAGATAGCACAGGTCTTTGAAGCAGCCAAAGCACGTGGCCTTGGAGTAGACAATCGGAAGGCTTGGACTTGGGCCCTTCACCCATTGTGGCGTGTTAAGTATGCTCCCAATATGGCTTGGAATGTTGACTGCGACTTTGTGGTGCAATTTTATTTGTCCTTGAAGATCAACACAACAACCCTGGAACGTGATCTTGGAGAGCTCCTTGCGCAACTGTCCTCGCATAGCGGACCACTTGCCAAGGATGGTGCCACCATGGCATGCATCATGGAAGTGAATGTGGAAGGGCCCCAGCAAGAAGCAGATTTCTTTTTACCAGCTGAACGTCCAGGGGAGCCTTTGCAACCTACCGATTTTGCCAAATTATGCCAAAAGCTTTGGCTGCAGCATTTTGGGCGAAGATTCAGATATGCTTATCTTCCTCGGTCCAAGGTCCAAGGCTCAAAGTTCAAGGTCCAAGGTCAAAAGCCCAAGGTCCAAGGTCCAAGATCCCATGCCCCTGGATCATTGGCTGCAAGAGTTCACGGGAGAGCAAAAGCTGCAGTTGCTGCTGCCCAGGGCAAAGAACATGAGAGCTTTGTGCCTGGCATGAAGTTGCCTTTGACCAAGCCTTGCCCATCTTTTACTGGAACTCGCTGGGAGACTGCTCCCTGCAGTGCTTCCAAGCAAGCGTTGGAGAATTTTGAGAAGCACACAAATCGCAAAAAAGAGCGTATCCCTGCCATGCGTTCAGGATTTTTGTTTGCTAAGCTAGTTCTTGGTGTTCATGTTTTGGTGTTTTGCTTTGCTTTTTCGAGTTTGCTGTATTTTTGCATACCATGAATCGAAGCCAAGGTCATGCTGAAGCTGCACGGGAGCGATTGGCTGGCAGAAATCCATATGTCCCCACAGCTCCAGTTCTTGGCGGTTTGCGGGCTCCTCAGCAGCAACTTCCAACCAAGATTTGTGTCATGGTTGGGAACCATCGGCCTGTCAAGCTTTTGCCAATCTACCAGCGCTACAGTACTACGTCCAGTGCTTTGAGCCCTGTGCCTGGTTTCATCATCTCCCCCCTGAATGGATTTGTAGACGCAGACATCACCGTTGTTGAGAACCTTTCTGACATTGACACTGCGCGCAGCGAGCATTTGGCCACTCATCCGAATCAGAAACAAAAAGAATGCTTTCTTTGTAGTGTGCAAGTCTTGGTTGTTGCTGCCTCAGGCAGTGGCATTGCTCTGGTGCTATGGGCTTGGAAAGGTTTTGGCTTCCAAAAAGGATGTGGAGGCTTTCATGCAGTCTGCCACCCCGCAAACTGAAGCACGCATGCTGCATTTTAGCCCAGCTGTGCATGGACGCTCCATCGGCATCCAGCTGAGAGACGCAATTGCCCAGAACCTCTGAATTCGTTGGGTCGATTGCTTGTAGAGACAGCTGTGCTTGCCAACTTATATTCTGCCTTTCCTTATTTGTATCTTCTTTTGGCTGTTCTTTTTGCAGTTGTTGTTGTGGTTAAGTTAGTTTTGTTTGTCTTGCTGCTGTTGTCATTGTTGATGCTGTTGTTCTTGTAGGTGTGGTTTTGTTATTGCTGGTCCTTGCTGCCTGTGTTGCAGTTGTAGATGTGGTTGTTGTAGTTGTCGTTGTCACTGTCCTTTTCCTTGTCCTTGTTGTCGTCGTCGTTGTCGTCATCGTTGCCATGGTCGTCGTCCTTCTTGTTCTTGCGCTTGTTCTTGTTGTTGTTGTTGTTGTGCTGGTGCTGCTGTTGTTGATGGTGGTGTTATTGTTATGTTTTTTTTTTAATCTGGTTGTTGTGGTTGCTGCTGTTGTGGCTGCAGTTGCTGTTGGCAATGTTGCTGTTGTTGTTGTTGCTGCTGCTGCTGTTGCGTTTCCGTGTTGTTTTCTATTTTTGTTCTTGTTCTTGCCATATGCTGTTGTCATCTTGATGCTGCTGTTGCTGACGTTGACGGTGTTCGATGTTGTTGGTTGTGGTTGTGGTTGTGGTTGCGGTTGCGGTTGCGGTTGTTGTTGTTGTTGTTGTTGCTGTTGTGGCTGCTGTTGCTGTTGCTGCTGCTGTGGCTGTTGCTGTTGCCGTTGCCGTCCTGGTCGCTATCGTCGTCGTTGCTGTTTGTCTTCTTACTCGGGTTATTGTTTTTGTAGGTTGACCTAGGCCCTAGGGCTTAATATTTTAAGACCTGAGACAGTCAATACCTGTTATTCTGCTGAGGAAGCGATCCTTCTGTGAAGCCCTGAAAGCTTGCGAGAAAAGAGATAAGTCCAAGTGGCGAGTGGCATTAGGTGAGCTTCCGAGCAGGGCCTGCTGCAAAAGACAACAGATCTTCACACTGCGCCAATGGGAAGATGTGTGGCGGTTCTTGCGAACCATCCGCAGGTTGCTGCAGCCGCGGTCTTTGGGGACCGACTCTTTTGGGGCAAAGCAGTTAATCAGTAAAGCTAGCCAAAGATAGCAAGCAAACTGGTTGCCAATGCTTGTCTATGGTCCAGGGTCAAAGGTCCTTGGCACCAGCTCTTGAAAATACAAAGGGGCTCCACTTTTCCAGACCCCAGGAATACACTCCTGGTTTGCGCAAACCGAGGGTCTATTGAGGGTGAAAAAAAGGATGCCAATTCATGCCTCTCAGCTTTTAGACATTCCTTGACTTAGACCTTCAGCCAATACACCTCCGGTTCGTGCAAACCGAGAGTGTATTGCAAGGGATTGTGTCCTCTACAATACACTGCAATACTAACTACAAGCTGTTACAATACACTCCTGGTTCGTGCAAACCAAAAACAAATGCGTTCCAAGGATCAGAACTTGCATCCAAAGATGTCAGGACAATCCAGCGTATCAGCTCATGTTTTTTTAGTATTGAAGGGTATAGTTTCAACATTGAAGGGTAGGAGATGCTCCATCATCATTGCAATCAAGCCTTAAGTTCTTGCATCCAAGGGTCACAGTCAATGGTGCTGAATCTGCATTTCCAAGGCCTTCAATCCATCAGCCAGGGCCAAGAGCATTACCAGCTGCCGCGGCAGTCAAGCGCATTGGCTGCAACTGCTGTACTGCTTGCTGCATAGATTTGTGGCATATGGTGTTGTGACCAAGTTCAGCAGCATATGATTCGATGTTGTGAGCCAAGCTCAACAGGGATGGGCATATAAGTCAAATAATTCACCATACCTTGTAATGCTGCAGCTAGCATTGTTCTTACATGTGCGCATGCCTCTTCTCTCAGTCCGGTCTCTTTGGATTTCTGATCCTGAGGGGCATGCTGGCAGAGAGAGGACCGAGAGCCAATTGGAAGAAGAGTAGTCGGGCAGCTGCTAAGGCTGATTTCCTGCAGTTATTTTGAAAGTTTTAGTATGCACACAGTGGCAGCCCTCATTTGATAGCAATTTGTGCATTACAATTTCTCTGCAGTTGCTAATAATTAACATGCGTGAGCAAGGCCGCGCTGCAATGTGCACAAGGGCACGACCTGTACAAGCTTAGCGATTTTATTTTCCGCGGCTTCAGCCTTTCCAGAGATCAGCTTGCAACGGCGCCTTGTTGAATGGAAGTGTGCTATGATAGTTATGCATCTGACAGTCATTTGCTTTTCAATTTAAGCTTGTGCAGGCATGGGTTGCTGCTTGGCTCCTCTACCGGTCAGGATGCCTTCCTCAGAAAGTTTCCTGACAGGTTAGAGCCTCGGGTCACATCCTTTGATATGCAGATGCGTGCCCAGATTTCAACCCATTGCCCTTGACGAATCGCTTCAGGTTCCCAGGTCCAAGACATTGCCGATTGCGCTGCGAATGCTATGGACTAGGAATGTATTTCTGCGCTTGCCTGGAAAGCATCCACACTTTCAAGTCATTCATGCGTTCAGAGGCAGCTTTTCCCATGCAGCAACCAGAGCAGCGAGCACCATGCTTTGAATTGCAGCTATGTACCCATGAGAGTTCTCACATCAATTAGTTTCAAAGAGATGCTGATGCTCAATGAATGCATGCTGAGGTAAAGACAAGACCACAAGGACAGTACTTTCTCTTTTGCAGTGCAAGTGTATTACTACCCTCTGCCCTTGTGAGCAATTCGGAATTGTAGCTGCTTCCTGCTACGTGCGTGATGTCAGGCCAGATTGCTTTATTTGCCCCAGACATATTTGATTGTATGCCTGGTCATGGTGTAGTTGCTGAGCAGCCCCTGTCAGGTTGGCGCAATTCTTCTTACAGAAGGCCAAGGCAAATGCAAAGATGAGCTTGACAGAGGCTGTGGTTTCCTTCTTCAAGGAAACCAAGGGCGTTGGGCAGCGGAAAATGTTTCTCCCACCCAAGAAGGCGTTTTTCAGGGCTTTGCGTCGCAGTGGCCGGTCCAAGGTCCAAGGTCCAGGGTCCAAGAAAGTGGCACCTGGCCATAACCCCATGTTTCATGTGCTTGAAGGCATTGGCCCTGCTGGAATAGTCCTGAAGTCAAGGAGGCAACAGGTGATTTGCATTGTCGTTATTGGCTGCTGATTCATGTATCCTTGATGCCATGGCAGCCCGGTCTAAGGTAAAGAAGATCAATGCCAACATGGACATCAACGCGTTGACCTTGGGGAAGATGCTTTGCTTTTGCGGGCAGTTTGTTGATGGACAGGCTTCTGGCATGGTCCTGCAAGAAGATGGCATTTGGAAAGTGGATCCAGAGCAGCTACTTGGGCAAACAGATAGACAGGGACCCGAGCCACAGCATAAGGTTGCGTTTGCCTACCAAAGTCAAGTCAGTTAATTATTGCACAGGCCATTTGCATGATTAATATACTAAACTTCCTTACTTCAAGAATAAGGACATTTGATAATGAAATGCCCCAATTGTTTCAAGTCCTATTTTCATTTATCATTTTGTTTTAATCCCTTAGTGACACTTCTGCATGCCTTAGACTTGTGATATGTTGACCTTTCTCTTGCAGCGGCAAGCGTTGCCTGGGCCTGGGCTTACTTGCTCAATTTTCAGCCTTCAGGTTGTTGACCCAACTTGCCTTGTTTTGTAAAGTCCAGTGGAATCACTCCAAACGTATGCAAAACTTGTTTTTTCAAAGATGCAGTGGTAGGGCAGTGGGCCAGCCTGGTTTGTTAATTGTTAGCACGCTTGCTACTACTGCGGGTTACAAGCATTTGTTCCCTGGCATGCTTTATCAGTCTAGATCTTTGGGTTTCCTTTTCTAATGTGGGCTGGCCATGAATATTGTCGTTTTGTCTTTGCTATTGGAGGCCAAACCTTCTCCTATTCCATTTCTCCTTCCTTTTGTATGTTTGTCCCAGCAGTGCAGAGTTCCAGCTGAGGATCTCAAACCTGGATATGGCAGCCAAGCGCCTCATGCCCATCCACATACATCAACATCTGCAGGCTTTGGGCAGGATTGCCAGCGAAAAGACCCAGTACAACGTCCATTGGAGCTTGGCCTGTTCGATTTCGCTTGTTGTGTGGGGCAGGTGACATGATGGATTGGACAAACCAGGGCTTCAAGTTCTTTGTGTTCTTACTCATTGAGATGCCAAAGGATTCACAGAATTTCAATGCATTTTGAATGAGGTCATTCATGGTTCAAATGCCATTATTATTTCTTATTGATTCTATGGGTCTAGCCATGGTCGAACCAAAGCTTGGGATTTTTTATGCAAGTGTTCATATGTCGAAAATAAAACCACTACCGACCACTTTTTCTGGAAGAAAATGGGTAAGCATGCGTGGCAAGGAACGGAACCAATGCAAAGATGTTCGGCGCTTGGAGCGGCTTGAGCGCAGATGAGAGCACCAAGCAAGTGCTGGCACATTTGAAGGCAGTTGCTGGGGCAACAGCTTGGCCAAAGTTGAAGAAATTTATTGGAGATGTTGATACGCCGGTCGTTGTGATTGCCTCATGCAAGGCTATTCAGGCACTCCAGATTCTTGATTTTAATCATTCCAAGCGTTTCAAGGTCCAAGGTCCAGGGTCCTGGGTGTTCAGTTTTCTGACTTATCATAGTTCTGGGAGGATATGGAGCATTCATAAGCTGAGGAACTTTTGCTTTCATTCTGCTCGAAGCCACCTAGCCAGCAAGAGAGTCCCAATGCAAAAGACTCATTCTGACTTAGATGAAAGTTTTAGCTCCGCGCCAAGGCAACTGGATTGGGGAAGAGATTCCGCAATTGGATCAGGCAATACAAGATGCTGCAAAGGACGCCAGGCTGGAGCCTCTTAAGAGTTTGTTTGGAGGAAAGGCCGCATAACCTTCAGAATTCATCTTTCCTTTTTGCCTCAGAGTCTAGCAACAATTACTTTCAAGCAGAGCATCGGGCGCTTGACAGGCGCAGCTGACTCGACTGTAGCACTACTCCGGTGATCAGGCCTGCAGTTGTGTGAGCTGTTATTTTGCCTGTCAGCTTATCAGTTTCAAGTTCGAAATTTACTTCCTATTTGCCATTCACCCTCTCTTGCTTGAAGCCGCTTTGCAGATCGCCTCCATGATCAGACAGGAGTGAAGGCAAGAAGAGTCGAAGCTGTGGACAGTCGCTATTGCACACACTAATTGGAAGTGCCACTTGCCATTACGCCATTGCACATTTGCAGGAAAAATCGACCCTTTTCTTTGAATTGCAACACTTTTAAGGTCCAAGGTCCGTGGTCCAAGGTCCATTGCCATAGTCCAACTGATGAGCAAGCCTGCCATGTCTGGCTACAGCGGTGTCAGCGCGGAGACCAAAGAGTCGTGGACTTCGGTAGGGTGGGCAGCAGTGACCGAGGCTGCCTTCGCCCTTGGGAAGGAAGAAGTCAGCACACAGGGGATGTCCCTGACCACCAGGTTGGACACCTTTCATCCTGATCCCATGGCTGCTATCTATGAGTGCCGCAAGGCTGCTCTGCGTGAGCTAGGGGGATCATTGTCCACAGGCCCTGTGACAAAAAAGGAGTTGAGAAATGCATCTGTGAAGGATGTGGAGGGCGCACTGATGAGCCCCAATTTTGTCCTGTTTGAGCTGGTGACCTCTGGGAACATGCCAAGCTTGGTGTGTGCCAATGCCGTCTTCGTTGTCCCCAACTCGAACTGGCAAACTTACCGCCTGCCGATGTCGGAATGCCCTTTCTGTCCAGCACACGACTTCGCGGATCAGTTTCGATTTCTGGCCAAGCTACTTTCTGGCAAATAGTCCATCATGGTCCAAGGTCCCAGGTCCATGGTGCAGTCAAGGCTTAACATAGCTCAAGTTCAGTGAGCACATGATGACATTGACACTTTCGACCTGGATACTAAGGCACTGCACTATCTACCCTCATTTGTGTGGCAATTGGATCCAAAAGTCTCCAAAGGGGCCATTGCCAGGCTTGGCGTACAACTTCCGCTACTACGTGGCCATTGATGACACCGGCAACGAGGATGATGTGACTGAAGCCAACCCTTTGCCCTTGTTGATGCTGTTGGCCCGCAACGATCCCTCGTCCGAAAGCCCCTTCAAGACAACGAATGTCACGGGTGGTGCTATCCCTTTGGCTTCATCCCAGCAGGTAGCAATGCACCTTGGCTTCTTTGCATACAAGCTGACAAAGTTGAAGATGGTGGAGCTCTGCTACACAGGTTTGATTGGTGGCCAGGCCCCGCACTCCCATCCTATGGGGAGTTTTTGGGTGCTGCGGATGGATATCTTGGCCACCATGCTGCAGGAAGGCCGCATGCAGATTCAGTATGCCCCCTATGAGATGACTTTGACTATGGTTGGTCAAGCAATGACTTCTGACAGCTTGTTCCTGGATGCGAGTGTGCTCAACTTGCGCAAGCGAAAGCGGCAACTGGAAGCTGACATCGCTGACTTGACTGATCAGGTCGGGGCAAAGAAATCTGAGTTGGCCAGTGTGAACGGTAAGCTGGAAGCCCATGCGACCATCACAGCAGAGTAGGCAAGCCTGACAATTTGCCGGGTGTATGGTCCATGGTCCACAGTCCACGGTCCACACATCCATGATCCAATTTTTCTTTCATTACCTGAGTTTTGACAAGCCGAAAGTCCATGACCCAGAAGAAGCGCTGGGCATGCATTGTTACATGCAAAAAAAGGGTGCGATCCAGCTTCCAGGGAATGCAGGTGTGAGTTGTGGGCTTTTGTAATAGTTAACTCAACTCATCGTGAAGATTTGCAGCATGCGGTTTTTGTTTGCATATTATTTGTTGATGAGCAAGCCCTAACATGTGCCGCTGCTGTTTTTTCGAATTCCAGGGTCTGAGGATAACGGTCCAGGGTCCACGGTCCAGAGTTCCTGAAGCATTGTGAGCTTGCTCTACCCCATGGCTGCCGCTCCGACCATCCCAAGCAATGCACACGCCCTGGCCTTAACGCTTTTGCAATTGAGCATGCTTGTGAAAGCTGTTTCTGCGCGTTCTTATTATTAAGAATGAGTTTAAAGACATGCATGGGCATGGGGACCATGACGGGGATGCCTTTCAGGCCAGCTCTCGCAACGTCATGGAGAAATTGATACCTTGGGCAAGGGCCTTAGCTTGTACAACTTTCGGCTGCAGCTCAATTGCCTGTTGCTGCTTTGCCAGCTCATTCAGCTTAGCTCTTTGCTGCGGAGGTCCGCAAGGAGCTGCCCAAAGCTTATGCAAAGTCGAAGGAGATGCACAAGTCCGCTCCGTTGAGCATTGTGAGCCAAGCCAAGTCGAGCGAAAGTGTCGGGTTTAAGGCAGCATCAGCAATCCAAAATTGTATTGCGTTTGATGTTTTCTGAAAGAGTCAAGCTGTAGGATCAGCGCATGAAGTAAGCATTCCAAAGTCCAGGGTCCACGGTCCAGGGTCCACAGTCCAGGGTCCACGGTCCAGGGCCCACAGTCCTGTCCAGGCTGGCATTTGGTCAAGTGAGCAGTGCGACGCCTCCATGCATGCCAGTGGCATCTACGAAGCATCTGGTTTGGCGCTGTGGCTTCAGACTGGGGCATTTGGTTCCAGCAGTCATGATGACCTCAATTGGCAAAGCCTTGAAGGATTCAAAGAGAAGTTCTTCTCAAAGAGGGTGGCTTTCAAGGCTTCAGTCACCCGGATGCAAGGAACCAAGAAGCAAAAGAGCGAGCGCAAGCGCATTCTATGGCCAGTCCCAATGATCTGCGCCGTGGATTCTATCACATCGGCTTGCCATGAAAACTTTGACGCATCGCTGCCATTGATTGGTACTGGGCATTTTGTCCTGTGGGCATGGTACTTGGCCACCTACGAAGCCATCATGCAATCGGTGACTCGGCTGCGCAGGAACAAAGAAACTACATTCAAATGAGATTATGCGTCCAAGTTCTCTTTTTAATGCAAGGGCTGGTGTCAACACGAAGTCCTGACTCAGTCAGCATCCAAGTACTTCAAACTTCTATAATTGTAGTTTGCGATCATCTCTTGAAAAGCAGTTGTCTGTGGCAGGACAAAGAGCATTTGGAACTCCTTTGGGAAGCTGCTTTATCCGTGACACTGCAGCTTCGCCTGTGCCCAACCGTGAAGGACAAGAGCTTGGCAAGAAACTTTCAGTCAGAAGCCGTCAAGGCATTGGGGCATGCTTCTCTCAGCGACAGCTTTCTCACATTTGCTGGATTGGCCAGGGTCCTTGCCATTGACAAGGTTCAAGATGGGGTGGCTATGGGCTTGGCATACAATGGAGCTGTGTACAATGCGGCGATTCACAAAGCTGCACTTTCTATGGCAGCTGTTCTGGAAGATTCAGATCGCCATGTGGAGCAATCTTTGTCCAGGCTTGAGTTGCAGTATGGCCGGGACATTCTCAGCAGCGAGTACTCCAAGCTTTCAAAGCTCATAGCCTATGCCAGGTCTGTGTCACCCTCATGGTCCATGGTCCAAGGTCCACGGTCCAACGGTGAAATCATGGCTTGGATGGTCGACATGTTGCTCTTGGCCTTCAAAACGAAGTTGCGGCTTCCCAGCAAAGCCACCGAAGGATGGCTGGACAAGGATCGGAAGACCGGAATGCCCGGCTATTGGCAAGTTTGCGCGGTGATTCTCCAAGCCCTTTGGTTGACAAAAAGCTTAACAAAAATACTTTGCAGGCTTTGGCGCATTGCATTTTTTAATGCTAAATTTAAACTTTTTTGGTAACAGTTTGTATCTCAACATAGTTGGGCCGTAGTATTGCCATGCCAGGTATTTGAGTATGCAGAGAAGTTGCTTTCCAAACTCCCCGAGCCAGAGCTTCAGAAGGCAAAAGCTGTGCTGGAAGATTTGCTATCACCGCTACGTTGTTGGGAGAAATTCCTGCAGCCAGATGAGAAAGCCTTGGCTGATACTGGGTTCTTGCATGAAGACGATCTGGAAGAGGAAGGTGCCTGTGCCGTAGTGGTTCCATCAGGGCCTTTGGCTGCCATCAAGGAGATCTTCAACAAGGCCACCGGTCAGCTGTTCGACCTTGTCTTGGAGCTTGTTTCAGGTAAGCATTACTCCGATTGCCAAGAACTTGCCAGCCAAGCAGGAGGATTGATCAAAGCATTGCAAGATACAGAGCAAGATCTTGAGTTTCTGAAGCAGCTGCGCCTAGTTACGGAGCTTGTTGGTGGTAGCCAATCCAAGTCTGTGACGGCAAGCACTGCGGCTCCGACCCCAAGCTTGCTGATGCAGTTGACTTCCACAGGCCAGGTCAATGCAGAGGCAGATGCAGAACGGGAAAGGCATTGGAAAATTGTACAGTCAGAGAGGCGAAAATTTGTGAGTTTTGGCTTGCCTAAGAGTTGGACAAAAGAATCTCTTCTGTCGTCTTTCCGCGCTTGCGGAAAAGTATTCTCCTTTGCTGGCCAACTCAACACCAGTCACAGACTTCTGTGCGCATCGGCCGACCTCATGACCGAGCAAGGTGATGAACCTTGGGTGGCGCCCTCCGTCCCTCCAGCACCGCTGTGGAAAGAAGTCCTTGCCTTCATGACCAGCAGCGCTACTGGAGCAGCTGATTTTGTGATGGCCTTTGATGGCCGCATGCGTGAGGTCCGACGACTAAATGCTACTTGACTTGACCAGATTTGATTCCGGTAGGCTTCTTCTCCGGCTTAGATTTGATATGAGAATGCAGCTGAACATTACAATTATTGATCATCATTGTTTGCTTATATACTTGCGGCAGACATGTCGGTGCTGATCAGCATGCTTTTCTTAACTTTCTGCTGGCGCAGCATTGAGGAAGATGATGTGCTCAGCCAGGCCCATGCCTGCGAGGCGACCATTGTCTACACAGGAGGATGCCCGCCCAGGGCCGGAAGGAGCCGCAGGGTGCCTCTGTCTGGCCGCAAGGTGGAAACTGTGGCCATCAGATGCCCTGTGCAGAGAACGCGTATCAAAGCAACGAAAAAAGAGACATTCACAGCTTGCGGGGAAGAGAGCACATACCAAGGCACCTACACAGGCGTGGCATTCAGGGCCTCCCTGGAGATTCCATTGATTTCTTTGGGGGAGAAGTCGAAGGTCATGGACCCCAACAGTGTGTTGTCTCTTCCCAGGGCTCCAGAGGATTGGGTTGAGCGCAATGGAGAAGATTGCCCTTTGTTTTGGGGTGAGTCGAAGCCGATCGCCTTATGGTGCGCGATCTTAGATGAGTGGAAAGTGCAAGCCGTTCTTGATTGCAGCCCTGGAAGCGGTGCTCTCATGGAAGCAGCTCTCACACGCGGTATTTTGTACCACGGCCTTTGTGTTGAACTGAGTTTATCCCAACACCAAAACACTCAG